AATTGATAAATATAATACACAAATTGTTTCTTGCCAACGGAATAAATCGTGTTATTATTAACAACCACGGATTATTAACAATCACGCGGACAAAAGATTTGTATAAAGATAGGCATTATAATGGTTCATTTTAATAAAATTTAATTCCAATCACACACACAAGTAAGTCTACGCTTTCAATCAGATAAATATTATTTTTACAAATAGGCAAATATTAATTTCCAATCAAATAAATATCTTTCCTATTATAATGATACGCTTTTGATGGTAATTTCACAGGAATCGTATTTTTAAATAATAAAAAATTATACTTGATTCATGAGTAATTAATATTTTTTCAAAAAAAAGCATAACTTAAAAATAAAGCAAAGATCATTAATAATGAACACGAAATTATGACGATGGCGATGGACGAATATCATCCCTGGAGTGAAACTCGAGCGAGATCAATCACACGGAATAATCCTGGTTATCTCAATGGTATCAGGGAATAGAAACACGAATACGTAGCCGGTAATTTAGATTAAGCACAAAATGATTTTTCTTTGCTACACGTCTAAGTGTATCATCAATTTTAAAGGAAGATCCGCGCGTACGCGAGGGAAGACCTTTTTTTGTCGAATCGACGTCGGTCGCTTGATTGCGTATATATGTCTCGTGTGTGTGTTTGTGTATTCATGTATGCGTGTGTGCTTATGTGTGCGTGTATCCCTATATGAATGACAGGCCAGCTCTTCGTTGATCACGAAAATCCCAACATTCGAGAATGCGCGTGAATTGAAAATAGAATTTAAAAAACGGTAACTTAGCGCGTAACAGCTCGTTTTACTCCATTTTTTTCTCAACGTGTCTCGCGTGTACGTGTGTATGTGTATGTGTGTGTATTTAATGAGTGAATGAGTGTGGGTGTGGATCCTGTTCGTGTACCTAATTGCACTTATTCGAAAAAACGGAACATAAGGTTGAACACAAGATGGCGGCCGGACGGCCCTGGAACGTATGTGTAGGTAATATACACCCTTGTTTAAATTTACTTTAATAAGAAACTCTATATACCGCTTTTGTCTCTATCGCGTTCGCTGTTGTCGCCCTCGGTCAAGCGCGCTCGAACTAAATCCGTTTGTTGCTACGATAGTCTCATCTATTTTCATTCGTGCTACTGTGCAAGTCGTAAAAACGTAACTTCATAACTTAGGCACAATTTGGAACTGTTTAGACCATTTTCACACGACCCCGTCTGCTGACGTCCGTGTGTACGTTGAGTGTGGAGACAAGACATTCTATTTACGATGCCGATGATAAAAGTAACACATAATATCAAAAATTATTTGAAAATAAAAATACTGACAAAATTAAATGTTTCAATCTTGATATACTCTTTTAGATTAAGTAACTGATTGTAGTACAATAATTTCTTTATTGTTATCACACATTTTTTAACAAGTTTAGTAATTTAGAAATAGCTGAAATACTTTCCAACATTTTTTACACGTTTATACTCGTATTTAAAATAATATATATTACATAAAATATATATGTAATACCTTTACTATTAAAATTTAAATTTCTAAATAAACTCATTGCCTCGAAAATAAAAAATAAATATTCTCAAATAAATTAGCATTTTGTTGAGGTGTTTTTTATTAAATTATTAGCGGATTATATATAATTAATAAAGAGCAAGCAGATAATGAGGCCGAATGAAATTTAATCATTTATTTAAGGAAGCAAGTCATAAATGTCTCTTTGTGCTCACATTCGTGACACACGAGCGTCTCTCGCTGGAACCATACCAAACGTGACAATATTGTGAGGTAGCTGACATTGAGCCGTTTCAGGGCCAATCGGACCAAATCTTCCAGTTTTCCATTATTCAGAATCGCGTTCGAATCCCATTCTACCTTCACGCGAACTGAAAGGGCGCCCGAGAGGATCTCAATTCTCTCTCTCTCCTTTCCCCTTACAAAGAAGCGAATGGAGAAAGAGAACGTGAGAATCCCTTCGTTTCCTCTCGTTTTGCCGATCGAGGCCTGATAAAAGCGGAAAGAGCACGCGCGCGAGAACGTAAAAAGATGTGCAAATGAAAACGCAAAAACGGGAATCTTTGGACCCGACTTTCCGAGCGATGCCCGCCATCTTGGTCCCGTCTGACCACCGGTGTGGATCAACGTAATTTCGCGATCACGCTTCTTCCGTCTTCCTTCCTTCCTATTTATCTATCTATCTATCTCGCTCTCTTTCACTCTTTTTTTTACTCTCGCTCTCTTTCTCCCCCTATCTTTCCCCTACTTGCTCGTTTTGTCCCGTTAATTCCCGGTTTGCCTTCTTACTCGTTTTTACTTTGTTTCGCGCACACCATAATTACAATAGTCTTTATTCTTTTTTTATATATATAATATATATATAATATATATCCGTAATCTTATTACATATATACTAGCTGGTTACAATAATTTGTGAAAAATATACATCAAAATTTTGTTACTTTTTACATCACAGATATTTTAATATAATATATCATCTTTTAATTCTTAAAGATTTCTGTACCTCCCCGTATATTCGACCAATCCGTCACTCGCCGGATTGTTTAGCGTATCGCCCGCGACGAAGGAAGAGACGACAGGATGTACAAGCGCGAACGGAGCGAAGAACTAAAGGATTCTTTTGAATTCTTCGATCGCGAAGAACAAACTTACATATTAAGGTATTTTTTATGCATGCGTTTTATTGTATCGCAGTACCATAATTACCGTGTATTTCAAATAAAAAAATTTCTAAGGTAACAAATATCTAAAAAAACATAACGGAGGGGCATCTAAAAAACATCCTGATCTTTCGAATGTCTTTTAGACGCCTTTCGCATTTCTTCTAGATTTTTGCATTTTCTTCGAATAATAATTTCGAATATGCATTTTAAAGATAACGTTACAGAAAACGTTGAATTTCTTAGCAATTGTCTTCAGAATCGAACGAGAATTACTATTGCATGGCACACGAATAGAAACGCGTGCATAAAAGAAACCTTAAGCTCGACTTCTCAATAACGGAGAACAACGATACGATTTCGATTTGAGAAAAACTTCCGTCGTGCCTTCGTCCCGCCACCTCTCCCAGAAAATAAAGAACGGAAAGATCGACAGTGCTTCAACAATCGCGTCTACAACGGTACATGCCTAGCCTCGAGTTCTCTCATATCCCTTTCCCCGACGATCGCGCGTAGCAAATTTCTAAAGAGAGAACGACAGTTTCTCTATAGATTTTACTCGAAGAAAGTCGCCAAAAAGATAGACAAATATCTCCCTCGACGTCAATAATCCCTCCCTTCTTGCGTGAAGGAACGAGACCTTCTCTCGCGTCTCATCGATCGCTCGTCCGGATGGCGATCGCGCTTTATCGCGAAATCGCATGGGTGTTTCATAAGTATCGCGCCAGTATGAGAATCTTCGACGTTGCCGCGAGAGAAAAAAGTGACGTATGTATATGCGGGCGTCTGTAGGTAGTCTAAACTGTTATGGCAGACACGTCAACGTGTCGTTGGGAGATCATTACGCGGACGTATCGTTAATTACGTCGATCGTACTAATTGTCGCGACCTAATCGTCCCATCCTAAACTACACGAGCGAGCCTTAAGGTGAACGCACATAGAAGTAAAAGTAGTAAACAGTAAGACATACGAAGTAGGCAATTAACATTGCCAGTATATCTATACATATGAAAGATGGCGGTTTTACGTCTTACTGCTTACTGCTTACTTCTACTTCTATGTGCGTTCACCTTTACGCGTATTATTCTTCAGTCCGCGTCGTCGAAAATCGCCTCCTTGGTTGCAACGTACACGTATAATACGTGCCTTGCATGATTAATGATTAATTTCACCAATACGTTACAGTCTACATTTTTTTAAATTTATAACACGCATATATAACAAATATTTTCAAAAAATATAGTTAATCATTTTCAAAGAATTTTAATTACACAAACAACAAATTATTATTTGATTTCACCGAATATTAATTATACTAGATTTATGAAGACTTCTAATGAAAGGACTCCAATTATATTCATTGCCTAATTTTAACCATTCTTAATTGCAATGTATTAACATTACTCTCTTATTCCGGTCAATTTTCGTCTAGCTAACGAATGTGTAAAATTACAGGTACCAATTGAATAACACATTCTATAGAGAGAAAACCACCAATAATTTGATCGTCGTCTGCTTCCCGAATTTGATCCAATTACAAGCAATACGATGAAAAGGACAGGTATCCGTAGCAACTGCGAATTATTTTCGGCGACACGGACGTCGGACGCGAATAGTCTCGTTTGTCCCACATTTGCCTGCGCGCTTTCTAACTTCCCTTGATGTATCACCTTTTCTTTCGCGATAAAAAAGAAATGCCGAAAGACGTACCGCGTTGCACCAAATGGATCGTGGAGATTTGAGATCCGCCGATTATAGACCGCACTAAAACGTCGCGACGAAACATCGTAACCGTAATTGAATTAACGACAATCATAGTGTACGCACGTTTACTATCATCCGCACGATAAATATCATTTTTTCACATCTAACGATAAATCTTTCGATAAAGGGTATCGGGCTTGAATTTTTGGGTGTATCGGTGATGCGAATTTGCGGGTATATAGGTTCTGGGTGGGCTCTGGGTTGTGGGAGGATGATAAGGAGATAAGTGAGTTAGTGGTCGGAACAAGTGTATAAACATATTTCCCTCCTTTTCGCATAATAATGCCTGGTGAACGTTTAGAAAAAGACTTCGAGGCATCGAATAGATCAGATCACACCGGGTGATTTATATACTTCATCGAAGGTGTGTCTGTGAGGAAGTGAGGAGTAGGTGAGGAATAAAAGGGAAGAGAGACACAGGCGGTGGTGTGGTGGTGGACAGTTAAAAAGTGACTTAGCGGACACAGGGCGAAGGAAGGTTTAAATTTACGTTTACACACAATCATAATTAGCTTGCATTTCGCTTTGTTGCTGTTCAGCTTGTTTTTTTTTAACCCTAAGGAGACCTTAACGTTTACACTCAATAACTTGTTTCCGCGTTTACGCGCGCTTTCTTTAAAGTTACATTATTCACGGTTTTTTGCTTTAAATAGGGTAAATTTTAAGTTTAGTTCCAAAAAACACCGAGAGAGTAGCCTTGCCTATATGGTTTACTTTTTTCGTAGGTATAATTTTTTTTGCATTAATAAGGAATTTTTGCATTTTTAAAACACCGAACATACATGCCTTATATTTTATGTACAGCCTAGAGTCTTTCAGTCGTTACTTTTAAAGAGAGTCATGAGATGAGTACGTGTGGATCATCCTTTTTCGTTTCTGCTGCTCTATCCTCCTCTTTTCTGTATTTATTCGCGTCATTTTCCCGCAACTACGCTTGACTATGCGAGAAAAATAGGAAATCCTGGCCCGCACTACAGTACCATTTTATTTTTCTTTTTGTCGCCGTTTTCTCGCGTTCGTCTGGCCTCCGATCCTTCCTACTCCGACTTTCGTCTCTGTCAATTTCGTCTTGGTCCAACGATCTGCCTGCTATATTAACTGAAATGACGAAATCATCATTTTACTAATCGCGGATCATCTCTCTATAAAATCCAATTTTATCCGAAAGTGATGCGACGCCAGTCGCGCACGTCGTTAAATTATTTAAGAAATATAAGAAAATTTCAACTTTTAATTATACAACTTGGATATTTTGTTATAAGGATATTTCTTTAAAAAATATATATTAATTATAAGTAAAGTTAACCATAAATTTCAATGGAATTGTCTTCAATATACACATAGCTGAAATTGAAAATATTTTTTTAAGTCTAGATTACAAATACGTTTATTCTAATTAAATTATCATCTTAATTGAATTATCAGACAAAATTTTGACTAAAAATCGTATCGACGTTTGCATTTAAAATTTCTTGCTTACGATAATTATCAATTGGTAAAAATTCAGACTTTCATCAAAATTCAAAAAAGTTTACACCGAATTTAAAAATTTATCGTATAAAATTTATCTTAACTCTCGAGTATGGTTTCTGTATCACAATCGCGAGCATAACTGGACGTGCATGACCGTGTGAATTCGCAGAAAACCGAATGAGAGAGACGTGTGGTCGCTTGAAACGTCGATGTTCGTCATTCGTTCGATATTCGTTCGATATTCGTGTCGTCGTTACTTCAAACCGACGGCGGACAATCGAGGCGCGCTCGAAGTGTCTGCCCAAAATCTGTCCCGACGCGTTACGATGAGTCTGCTGGTTCCTAATGCATATATATCCCTCGCGGAAACCGCGATGTGTGAGAAACGAAAACAGAGATTAAAACATTCCTAGATTTAGTAAGTCTTTTCTTTTGCAAAGAAACGATACAACACTGCCTCCGCTCACGCTGCTGCAACCGCAGCTTCTTTTTATCTCTTTTTTTTCTCTTCTTCTCCTCTACGCAGTAGAAAATTTGTATTCGTATCAAAAAGTGGGCGTCTCGCGCTTTAAGAAAAACGTCTGCGCTTCCGGTATCGGAGAAATCGAATCGAGAGCCGGCGCGCGCGCGCTGCAACAGTATCCTTTCCTCTTATTCCATGTTCTGATTTTGAATTTGTATCTTTCTAGCTCTACCTGGATTCGGACCGCGATTTAATTCCATTACGCGACGCCGAAAGACCGCGATCTTCGTGGCCGTAATTGCTCAATCACAAAAAAGAGCTTATGGAATTATTTTCTTCTTCAAATTATCTATGTAAAACAGGGGATTAAAACTGCATATACGAGTACAACAACTGAGAAATCTCTAACTTGATATTATTTTAATGCTATTTTTAATATTGATAAATTCTTAAAATAAATCCTTTTTATTTTTTTTATGTGTCGAAAAACTCGAAATACTTTATGCTTATTTAAAAGATATTATAATTATAAAAAACATTAGAAAAATTAGAATCTTTCACACTGTTCGTTATACATACAGATCCTCCGTAAAAAAAAGAATTCTATAGACAAACAAACGTAGGCATTTGAATGTGCCATTACATTGATCAAGAACATTACTCACAATTTTGTAGGCAATTCTCAACAACGAAGATCACATCTCGGTACTTTTTTTGCATTCCCCCCATTTTGCCGCGTTCACGCCCGAAACGTGTGACGCGTTCACGTCAAACGCTGGCCTCGAAATGATCGAGATTATAGAAATATTGTCGCCTCGTGAAAAAGAAAAACGCGTCAACTGCGCGCGCCAACAAAAGCCTTGGCTCGTTCTCGCTTCGCACACGTTCGTAATGACCAAAAAATATATGTATATATAATATATTATTCCTTATATAATTATGTCGCTTCCTTAGTTAAGTAGTGTTTAAATAGTAGATAATAAGTTTTTTTTTCTTTTTGCATTAGGTAATTTTACACTCATAGAGGAAAAAATATGCTGTCGCGTCGGCATTTTTGTTCCATCGTTTGACCTTTCGTCGTCGTCAACCGATTGATAGTGGTTGCAGTAATTAATAATCGTAATAATAATCATCGAACGGCTAACATTTTCGCGTTGCATATGTCCACGTGTGCATCACACGGCGTTGCGACCAAGCATCCTTCAACCGTCAAGTCCACGACGGTCGCGGGACTTAACGGATTCGTGTGTATCCGACTCCGGGTCACCGCGTCTATCATAGAAATGAATTTCGCATCGGCGCAAAATACCGTAATCCGCGATGCGATTCGGCGATGCTTGACGGAAAGGTAAGATTTCGGGCAACGCCGCTGTAACGACATGTGGACGCGCGCAACGCCTAAATATCTCGTTATGTTCCCCATTTTTGTATACTCGCGTATATGTACTCGTTTGTATATTATATGTAGGTGTGTGTGAAAGATATTTGTGTGTAAAGTGTCTCGTGGAATGTCGGGCTCGTAGAAACGCGGTCAGAATGGGTCCTTGCGTCTACTAAAGTGTGTCGCGTGTGAACAGTCGGCACGATGAACATGTCGCGTGTGTCTTTTATCCATTACGTTCTCGGTATACTCCGGTGCGAAATGTATTTTCGCCGTAAATCGAAAGGGTTTTCCTACACGCGCGCCTAATACCAGGTTGGCCAGGGGCCGTGGGCCAGCCGGACGCGGGTTCGTACGGCGGGTACGCGCTAACTGGTGGAATCGCAGTGGGTTTACGGTAGGTTGTGCTTAGCATTTATGCATCGCCACTTTTCGTTCTCCCCTTCTTGCACTGGACTTGCCTCGCAACGTTCGAGGTTTCTTCCGGTCCAAAAAAAATCGAAATAGAAAGGTTGTGGAGGAGCAGGTAAGAGGGGGGTGGGGGGTGGGATAATCGAGGGTACTATCGGCGTCGGCGACGGTATTCGAGGATTCCCTTCGTCCCTGTGCTCGAATCGATCATTCGGCGAGAGGAGATTTTTTTACCTCCTGAATCCGTCTCTCTTGCCCCGACACGGGCGAGATTGGGAAAATTGTGGGAGCGCGAAGGGAAACCCCGTTCGCGGCGCGCAACAACGAGAAGGCGCACGGGTTCGGTGCGTGTGAGAGATCTGGGCGGGAATGTGAGTTTACTGTATATGGGTCTTTTCATTTGTTTACTGTACTCATAACTGTATACTTTACTGATAACTGATACTGACTTTCGTCTACTCTACGGAGTCCTCCATGCTGAGCGCGGTGCCGCGCTGCTCCGCCGCTGCCGCCGGCTGCTGGCTGTTAGTCGGCTCGCCGGATCTGCTGCTCGCGGTGTTGTAGCCCCTCTGCAGTTGCACGACCAGCCCGCTCACGGCAGCATATTCCTTTTGTTGTTGCTGCGGCTGAGTCTTCTGGCTCGAATGATCTACTATAAGCTTACTATCACAGGCACTTTTTTTGTCAGTTGACGCGGCGTAGAGGTTGTGTAAGTCCGGGTAGTGATTCAGCTGTGGTTGCTGCTGCTGTTGCTGTTGCAGGTTCAGAGGTTGCTTCCGGTCGCGATCCTCCTGGCCGCCGTTATGAACCTCGCGCTCTCTGCTGCTGCGATCGATCCTCGAGTCACGGGTGCTGTCCTCGTCCCTGCTACCCGCTCGGGAAATCGACAGAGGTGTCGGTGGTGACGTCAGCCGATCGCTGCCGTCCTCCGTGCGACCTCTCTCCGACGGTGAAGGGCTAAGGTCAACCGTGGGCACGCGCTCCGGTCTCTCTGGCACCATCCTGCCCGTTGGTCCTCGATAACTTTCGTCCTCGCTACTGTCTTGCGCCATCCGCGGCAGCGGGGTCCTCCTCGAGTTTCTGCATAGCTGATCGATCAGGGTCTTGCTACTCATCGTCTCCGGGTGTTGCGATGACGACTGCTGTTGCTGGTTTCTCGCCTCCCCTATCGCCCGCTGGTCCCTTGGAATGCCTGTCTCAAGGCTCGACCTGATCAGATTGTCCAGGAAACTGCCGTTCGCCCCGGGCCCATCGTAAATGCTCTCCACCATGTCGCGCGGCGCCTTCGCAATCGAAGCGCTTCGAGAATTCGAAGTTCCGGCCGCGTCTGCCGTTCCGGATACGCCAACTCCATCTCGGTCTCGTTGCTGATGCTGCTGCTGTACCATCGTGGCGTTTCGTTGTTGCTCCTGCAGCCCGCGCATTCTCTGCGATGCGAAATATTGTTCCGGAAGGATCGGCACGTTCGGCGCGCCACCCATAAAGGGGGAGGGCATGAAGGGCGTCGGGTTCCAGAAGTTGAAGGGTCCGAATGGCAGGTGGGGCATGCCCTCCATGAACGGAGGCATTTTCAGTCCATTCGGACCGGGTATACCGCCGGGCGGTGTGAACGGTTTCTGCGGCTTCAGCTGCGGCTTCTTGTCAACGCCAGCAGTGCCCGGCCGCATCGCCGCGGCCGCTGCTGCCGCCGCTGCCGTCGTCGCAGTCTCCTTCGACTTATCGTCCGGTTGCTTCTGGTCCCTGCAGAAGAAAAGGAAGCTCAGATTAAAATTCCTAGCTTTTAATATAATAACATGTTCTTTATAATAATTTGCGACATATGGTTTAAAAAATATAATTTTTTTAATGACATGCTGAGATTTGTCACGTAGACATTATATCGTCCATGAACAATACCGATTATTTGTAACTTCACGGGTAAAAAAAAACAAGAAATATATATATATATAAGACGGATAAAATTCTTTTATCAAAACAACTAATCGACTTACCTCTTGCGCGGCCTCATGAGATGCCGCTCCTTGACTTTGTACTCAAGGGTGGAGTGCGGAACTCCGTAAAAGCTGCCAGCACGATGCACGCTCATCTCGCCGCGCTGAACTGCGCGTACCGCCTCGACAAGGCTATCCCTGTCGTAGTTTCTGTATTTTCCGCGTTTAGGTCTGGTGCCCTTGCCGCCAGTACCCGGTTTCGATTTGTTCGCCTCTTGCGTCTGCTGCTTCGATTGCGATTGCTGCGCCGGCGACTGCTGTTGTGGCGGCTGTGGAGGTGTATACCGACCCCTCTTGAACGGACTCGGATCTGTTATCATGGCCTGCTGCGATGGAACCACACCGGCTGGTATGCCAGCCGCGCTAGGCGTTTGACCCTCTTGGAACTTGACGCTGATGCTCTTGGCGATGACGTCGCGGAAATTGACGGCCACCGCTTTGCCTACCAGCGAATTCGTGGGGCTGCTGGTAGTGGAAAACGCTGGACTAGCTCGTTCCAGAAGGCCCGGACTCGAGGCGGCAGCCGCGAAGCTCTGGGCGAATGCGGCGGATGTCGGCTCGCCATTCTTGCTGGAACAGCCCGGCGTACTGGCGGGCTTGTAGGACGGAATTTTCAATATCGCTCTGCCCTGAGCGCTGTCGCTGGCTTCTTCCTCGATGTTGGGATTAAAGTCGTCGTTCGTCATGGGCCCTCGCTGCTGCTGCGACTGTGACTGCTGATGTGCACCGAGAGGATGGTGCTGATGGTGATGCGACTGTGACTGATCACCGTTCACGTTCTTGTTCAGCCTCTTGTCCTCGCTCATCAGCTTCCTCATTACTTCGGGTATGCGATAATCTCGCGTGTCCATGCCTACGTCATTATTACAATATTTGTAGTAGAGATTCATAAATGTCTATCGGTATTGGCAAATGCATACTCGTGAAGCTAATCAATAATAAGTAGTCGAAGGCCGAATAATGAGCAATAAAAATGTAGATACATTAAAGCAATTTAATTAGAAAAATTGTCTGTTTTTAAAATAACTAATAATATGTCATACTGGTAATAAAAAGGTAAATCAGTACCAACCAACCGTAATGTCTTTTCTCTTGCGTACCGATAATGATAGGGGATAATAGCGAGCTCATGAGTATGCCATAGGTCTGTTTATACATTATTTTGTTAAAGGTAAAATAGGTGGAACTTAGTATAAATTTAATCACAAGAATAAAATCCTCTTTCAGGATCTCAGTGTTTTTTTCTATATACATCTACCTATTGCCGATCTTCTAACTCTATCGGGATGTTAGTATAAAGAAAGATTTACATTCGAAAATATTAACAGATGAATCATAGATAAATCAGTTGTTTCTTTAAGGTAAATGTCCCAGTGACCGGACACATTTATACAAAATTTGTTATTATTAATCTCAAATGCTTTTTTAAATATAATATTATAATTTAATTGTGATTTTTAAATATAATTAAATTATAATATTGTAATAAAAAAAGGAATTTGAGATTAATAATAATAAATTTTGTATAAGTGTGTCCGGACATGTACGGTCACTGGAACGTTTACCTTACCTGAGAGAGAATTGTATAAATTGAAACTATTATTAACATGACTTTATGTGATAAAGGCAATTAGAATTTTATGTAGAAATTTCAAATAATATGAAAATATTTTAATACAGATTTAATGATGACTTCAACAAAAATCGTGATTATCTTGCATGTACAATATAATATTTTTTGTTTTTCTTCAGTGTTTGTCATAATTTCAAATACAGATGCAAGCTATTCAAATTAAATTGCAGTCTTCAAAGACAGAGAAAATATCGGCGAACTGATTAACTAGGGCCTGGCTTCTATCGATTTCAGAAGTCCTATTGTGGCGTAATACACTTTTCGGCTTTCCTCTCTTGACGCAGATTGGTTAGTCAATGGACAAAATAAACTAACGCTTGGAAATGACCCAAATGTCGAATATCAATATACTATATTATTTTATATATATACAAGTTAATTTTATAAATTTAAATCTCATAGGACCGACGCGTGAACTCACTAATAATATGAAATAAAGGCCTAATGCCGGTCGAAGCTAGATCTTAATTGCTTTTTAAATAATTCAAATGTGAATTATATATATACTATATATGTACTTGCGACTGTTGAGCATCAAAATATTTCAATAGTTTAGCTGCGTTTGTAAAGTCCGGAAAAATTTCGACGCGTAGTGAATATGACTACAAATATATATGCAAGTACATATATAATATAATATAATTATAAGTTAAATTTATATTATTACATTAATAAATATAAAAAAATTAATTGCTTCAAATTTAAAAAACATGAACATTATTAAGAATTTAATTGTAATCGGAACTTTGATAGACAATCAAAATTGCAATTCTTTGATAAAAATAAAGAATAAATTAACTCTTTAACTGATGAGCTTTTAAGCTATTTGCGATATCATTTTGTAATATTAAGGAACTTAGATGATTAATTTTACCTAATGGTGCAGCGGCAGCCAACATCTTTTGAATATAGGGACCGATGTTCGCGTGTTCCAATCCCGGCCATTCGGCTCCTGTCTCATGTCCTCGTTGCAACAAGTTTCTGAGGGAATCACCACCAGTTCCTTCGAGTGTAGAAAACCTCACGAGATCCTCCAACGACAGCAGAGGCTTCAACAGGGCCTTCTCGACTTCCTTCTCCTCTTCTGCACCGGATAATTCTTTGTCGTCCACCTGTTTTCAAAAAATCTCTTCTAGCATTTTCTGCATATTTTCAAGTACAAAAGAGCATCTAAATTGCAAATTACAGTCAAGCTGTCCTCTCGAGGAAAATAAAAGTAGAAACTTCCACCCCGTCTCCGAAGACGTGAGTAGAAGCATTGCTCTTCTCATTATCGATAGTCATTAAGTAACTATTACTGCTCATAAATATGACAACTTCTTGTTCGAGAGTGCTTCATCGAGAGGTGTGTGTCTGGAGTGTACGTGTATTTGTATCGTGTGTAGGTGTCAATTGTCCTTTGTGTAAATATATACAAAGTGTTTGCCATAAAGTGACCGCATTGCATATTTTTAAAAAATATCAAAATGGAGAAGAACGTAATGCTGGAAAAGGTGCTTTAAAGCTTTGAGGTACGTTGCACAGATGAATTTTACGTAAAAGAAATCATATGCGCCAGCTTTATTTTTTTTTAAGAATCTTGAAAATATCGCTTTAAAACTTTTTTATAAACTTTAACATTTAATTTATCATTTAAAAAAAAAACAAAACAAATCATCTTTACAGAAAGAACAAAATTGAAGATATCCTTTATTTATTTTTCTTCATCCTTCAATACTTAACATAAAATATTCAATTGAGTCACTTTACACAAACCACTCGGTACATGTATCTCCATCAAATGTAAAATAGCCAAGCACCATGCAGGAGAGCTGCTAATCAGTAAATGATATTTTCCAAAGCAGCGGCAAGTGTTTTACGGGAAAAATGCTCTCGATGCTCTCAACAGTCGGCCGGTAGACGATAATTGCGACTACCTTTCCCCTTCTAGTCCTCAATAAAAGGAAAAGAGGGCAGAATTCACGTAGAGAAAAGCTTATCTTCGGCGTGCATTTCGACGAGATACGCCGGAATTCAAGTATACAGATACCACTCGGGACTCGTTTAAGGCGCATGCATTGCACTAAAAGTGAAGCAACAGTCTTCTATGATGTTTGCTATGTATATAAACGCGCGGTACGCGATCGTATAAAATGCAAGCACGAAAAATGACTTTAACCGTTCTCATGCATAGACCGTGCTTGCAAGCTCGGCAAGTTATACCGTAAAATAACGCTTCTTAGTGCTCATATTAAGACAAAGTTTAGTCGGCAGACGATTTTAAGTAGCAACTATTATAACCAACAGACCGTGCGATACAGTTACAATTTTTAGAAAAGTACAATACGCAATGCAGGATATTTTCTCGATTAAGGAGATGATTCGTATTACGCAACAAACACCTCAAATTTAATTTCACAAAATTTTATGTTTTTTCAATCTTGCTGAATATTTTTTTTCCGATAAAAAAATATTATTCTATGTTCTAAATAGACTAAACACTTTTCTATATACTTTTCTGATATAAATCGAAAGTTTTTACACATTTTAATGTCCTCGGCATCTTCGATTACTTAATTGAAATCAATTCCCGTCCTACACATGCTAAAAAGAATTAATCATTATCAAATTGAGAATAAAGAATCGGTAAAAAAGACACAATCAGGTGATGAGGATTAAATTGGATCACCGCGTTTAATTTGCCGTAATCTTCAATCGTGCGACTGTTTCAAGGATGATCGGCGCGTTTACACTGAAATTGTGATCCGTCCATTTCAAAACAATTATTTGATTGGACGTCTCTATGCGGAGGATTGTATGCACGATACACATCGAGGATGCAGAGTGTCGAGGTCCAGAAGCGTACATTTATTAATTCCGTGGCGCGACTAAGCACCTTTAAGAACGAAAGAAAGATCGAGCCCGGACAAATTTTTCTTTCGTCTCGACACGACCTTCCCAAAAACTTACCTCGAATCTTGCAACCTCGCGGACACCAAGTTGCCGTGTGTTAAACTACAAATAGTGAGATAAAAAAAGTTAAACAGCCCATGCAAAAAACACTGGATACTACGGAGCATCACGGCGACCGATACGGAGCCGCGCAGACCATCGTTTCTTTCCTTCAGCATAAGATCACCGAACAAACGTACAGTTGCCGTTACCTTCTTCTATCAAATCGACATACCTTTCTCCTATATACTTTTTATTAATTGATCAGTATTGTGTAACATTAAAAAAGAATATTCTCTCTTCCCTATCTGAATTTCTTTCATGAATTATTTGTAAATTTAATAATTATACCTTTAAAAGCAAAAGTAAAAATAAAATAGATAGTGATTAGAAAAAAATATATAATATTCACATTATGAGACTATTATATTTAAACTTGATTTAATAATTTTTATCGAAATAAAAGTGAATATTATTTTATATATAAATACAAAATTTAGCAGAATGTAATTATAATCCAATGAAGCTACTTTTAAACTACATTAAATTATAATCACAGAAATTGCTGATCGACCGAATATAAATTGGGCGACTATAAGCGTTTCGTTTAGCGATACAAGACACTCGGTCCACGCGAGATCCACGATCGCCGTGCCAGAGGTATGTTTTGGGGAAGCTTCATTCGTTCTTCCTAACCAAAACCACACTTAAATACAAATGAACGGTATATATTCGCGAATTTTCCCAACGAGATTTCCCTCGTGCATCGTTCGATTTCCCACCCCCTTCCACGTTCCTCTGCATGGTAATAGGCCTATTTTGCCGCGTAAATCATGAAGACTTATTACTCGCACGCGGACGATTTAAGTCGTAAGATATCGTGTGTGATTTCTCGAGTGCCCGACAATGTTCTATAATCTATAACGTCGATAAATGACTTTGAAAATTACCGTGATTATAATTTTATACTTCTGAGAAAATTATCTAAGATAACATTTCTTTATATATCGTTTATCTTTCTAATTGATATCTTTGAAGATATTTTTCTTTTCAATCGATACATATTGTGCAAACTTATATAAAACATAACTCATAGATATTTATAATCATTATCGCAATGCATCTAACGACAAAAAATTGTTACAAGTTTCCTTTATAAAATCGTTAATCAATCTGATATCAATTTTTTCAACAAAAATCTAATCAGATACTACCTATCTTTATATCCTCTTATATTTCTTTTCATTTTTGGTGCTATATATTAACGTACAAATATTATGACACATCTCTTTCAAAATACAATATATCAGATAAAATGCTTGATTTATCTTTTTTCAACTTTTATAATATTTGTCTTTATGTGATTTATCGCCAATATGAATCCGATATGTAATTTGTAAATCAAACTAATATAAACAGCTATGTTAGTGATCATTAGGCACTTGCAATAGATCATGAAATACGCCGCGGTATCAACATTGACATTCCGCGTTATTTGAAACGAGTCAACGCAGCAACTCCGAAATCATTTTGTCGCGCTATCGATTTGTTTCCGGATGAGAAACATCGGACATCGATAACGGAAACTCCGAAGATAAAAAAAGATACACGATATAGCATCTTCGCGCGTCGCTTCGGTTCGTCGCATTCCCTCACGAGATTCCCCAGTCGCTGTCTATGCCAATTTGCATCCTCAGCTTTTCTACCCGACACGCGTGAAAGACCGGCGAGACTTCGGCACGTGTCGGTGGCACGTTTCCACTCCCCGCTCTCTGCATCTCGACCATTTTCACTGTTCTCTTTCTTTCCTTCTTTCTTTCTTTCTTTCTGTCTCTCTTTCTCTCTTTCTAGATCTCTAACTATCTTCCGTTGTCTGTCCCCAAAACCTACCTCGTCCACTTGCGGGGGCGGAGTGGTCGCGGAGGCGTTTTGGGTCGTATTTGGTGGTGTTGTAGTAGTAGTAGTAGTGGTGGTGGTGGTGGTGGTGATGGTGGTGGTGGTGGTGGCTGGGGCGCCGGGCTCGTGAGGGTGTGAATGGGTGCTAGTCAGGGACGCATCCCTTTCGCGTTCCATCGCGAGCTTGTAGACCTTGTTGCGCAGAGTACTACGCGGTATCCCGTAGATTACCGCTGCCCTCCGCGTGCCGAGCTTGCCGCTTTGGATGTCCCTGAGGGCGGCCTGCAGTTCCTCCTCGGTGTAAGTCCTCCTGCCGCCCCCGGCACCCACCACTGGAACACCACCGACGCCTGCCGCCGCCGCTGCCGCCGCGGTCACAACCGGTCCGGTCATTCGCGGTTTCGCGCGGTAACACGAGCTGAAACAGCATTAATCAACGTTATATCGAGGCCAGATGATGTTTTTGCTTGCAATGTTGAGAGCCGCTTGAAACGTAATTTTGGAATAGCATATAGCAAGGTACATAGAAATGAGCGCCGAATGAATGCTTGGTGAACCGAGTTTGCAATATCGCGTCTCTGGAACCTTCATCGTGTATTACAAATGTCTATATAAAGTATTGAGAGATGTCACGTAACGGAAACAATTCATTGAAATTCGCGTTGCTTGTCAATTGCATTTTATCATATAGGAAAACTTATTTTTGTGTCCCTCGAGTTTTCCATTTCGCTGGTCCGACATTTAAGATAGCTTCTATAACTATCCGTCAGTTATCATAACAGAAATCTCGTTTATTCTGTCGTGTACTAAAGTCAAAGAAAATTAATTTTAGTTTCCAAAACTGCGCATATAAAGAAAGAAAGAAGTAATATATTAAAAAATAGTATCGCCTAGAGAAAAAATCAATGTCGCATAAAATAATTTACTTAACTGTTCTTCTGATTTCCTTTTATCGATAAAAAATACAATAATATATTTCGCGGAATATTATAATATATTTTTCATTTGTATTCTCTTTAGAAATGTTATGAAAGAATTATGAATATATCTAGTTGAGACATAGTTTGAAGATGAAACATTCAAACAGCAAACCTTGTAAACAAGCGAGTAGCCAAGAGACTGCGTGGTTCGATACTCGTTCGATTGGCCAATGGACGCGTCCGATATTCACTCGAGCTTCATGTATATGTAACAAAGTCAGATTATTCAGCGTTTCTCGTAATGCAGACTCACGTGTATCCACGTTTCCTAGACTAACTCGAGAAACAACCCGCATCAAATGGCCACGTGGCCATCCCGACGCTTGCACGTGTTTAGCGTCATGCCAATGGCGAATTGCGAATCCGTATAGCTTTGATCCTGGCTTCGGGGGACATCAAGCCATGTAAATTAAGTTTTTCAAACGAACAGGCTGAAAAACGTGTTAACTCGGCAATTTCTCGTATTGCATATAATCGATTTCTGGCCAGAAAAAGCGAGCATTTATGCTTCTTTAAACACGTAATTCATTTACATAAATATCATTTCGCAGTACAATTATATAAACAAGATTTATTTATGATAAGATGAAAATTAAAATACCGGTTAAATTGCTAGGAGGCACAAATCGTGTATAAATATATTTATTATATGTGTTTATTAGAATTTTCTTTTTATTGCTATCATAAATTTTCATATCATCGCCATTTCCTGTAATACACTATGTTTACAAGACAATTTTGTTGTTAATTATTCTAAAATATCTATGACGTAAAACATTCATTACTGTCAACTTCCTTTTATAAAAATAAATCTTATTCTATCGGATTACAATAAAGAAACAGATAAAAATAAATAATTACATAATACTAATTCAGAGTGCATAACATCTTTAAATATCTATATATATTATATATATATATATATATATATAATCATCCTGCATAAATATGCCTTGCTTCACGTGAATTACCATTCGCACAATCGTAAACAAAGTGACAAAATCAAAGTCAAAGTCACAAAATCAAAAATAGATTTCAATTCTGATCTTTGAGCGTGTACGTCAATCTTTGAGAAGAAGGCTCGATGGATGTATCATGGCGCAAGGTGGACATTTTCAACAATTGTTTTCTAATTGTTTTATTTCATCAGAAGAACTGAAGTCTGTTTTTTTTGTTTTTCTGTTTTTGACTAGCTTTTTACTAGTTCAAGCTGTATTTCTTTCAAATAAACAGATTATTACTACACGTTTAAATTTGTTTATTTCGGAAACTAAGCCGTTTAGGACACATGTTTATATGGACTTTTTTACTTGAAATAAACCAAAGAATCGCTCTGTTGAGTATGGCAACATACTTGTATGGCAACTCTCTAACACCCTGTATATGCATATATATATAGAGGTATGTATATGATACATGATTCAACTTTAATAAAAATCTAGAGACGGTATCAAAAAATTTATAAAAGATAATAAAAACTTTCCTCTTAGCTATTTTTATGCAACAATAAATTTTCTCAATCATCCCAAGAACTAAATGTTGTTTACATCTAATCACCTCGCGCTAAATAACACGAAGAATAACAATTTTAGGTGCGAAAGCATCCAGTAATATTTCGCGCTCGCATAAAAGAACGCGACGTGGCACGAAGGTGATGGATATCGGGTCGGTGTAATTTGTCATGGAGCGCAACGATAAGATTAGGCGTAAGAAATCATCGCGAGCTTCGCGCTCCCCTTTCGCCGTCCCACCCCCGCTTGCACTATGGAGCCCTCCTTTGCAAGTTCGTCGACCTGTGTCGCTGATAAAAGTGCATTTCGTCCGACGCTGGCCTGCTGGATAGGTCCCGCTACGTCAGTAGTCATCGACCGGCGCTGATTTATCTGCAATTTTTGTTTGTTGGCTCGTCTGTGGTTTTACGCGACGATACGCGCTACGTTCAACGCCGTCGGAAACTCGGTCCGCGTTCCATGTGCGTTTCAGGTTCAACGTTTCACAAGTAATGTCGTCGCATAATTTCGAAGAGAACGGTATTCGTATCCGCCAAATAAAACGACGTGTATCTAACCGCAAGGAATTTAGACTCCATCATCGATTCATTTCCGTAAAAACGTGTACCTTCGCGCCGCAGACTCCTTGTCGCACACCTCCGCAAAAGAAACACTGTATCGCGCGTTATACTTTCAATGTAATATAGCAATTTGTGTCAAGAACGAATTCCTTAACTTAAGTAACAGATTTATCTCTATGCAACAATGTAAAATTCCTCAAACATGCGAGAAGTCTTTAGCAAAGTTGTTAAAAACAAATATTAAAACAGACATCTTCAACGTCAACATATTTACGGATGCCGGAAACCAAGGTTTCATGATCAAACTGGATGGTTCAGTTTAGTAAATTCTGGCATAAATCACAAGGCTCACGCAATCGCGAACCAGATAGTCGTAATCTTGTCCTTCGCAGCGGCGTCAATATCTCTTTGGCCAGCGAACCTTCTCCAAAGCCTTCTACGAACCGGTTTTACTTCAGTACCCGGTGTCTGGTTTTATTGCAGCTCGCCTATTTTTCCAGTATCGCGGACGCGCGCAAGTGCGAACTGTACGTCTAATTTCGCTTCTTCGTGGCTACTTGCCACGAGAAGACACGATCTTAAATCTAACCAATCGACTCGTATTTCTCAGATTACATCTCTAAGAAATTTATATTATTAGTATTTTGCTTTAAAACATAGAACAAAAATATGAAATATTCATCAAGATTAGTATATATACAATCTGATTAAAAAATGTTTGCAATAAAATATTTAAAATAATTACAACATATAATAATAATAATAACAGCTTTTTGGTTTAATATTGTTTATGCAACAAATTTTAGTTCAGTCTCATACATAGATGAAACAGATGTGATAACAGCATAAAAAAATTGAAACAAAAATCGCGACATAATAATGTAAATGGCAGTGTTTAGAGGAAAGTATGAAATTAGTCAAACTAGTCTAATTACGCAATGTCCGTTTATAGACGATGCTAAGTACCTTGAATTTGTCTACTTTGTAGCACCAAAGTAGAATAGAAAAACTTAACGTGCCTATCGCATGAATTTAATAAGTATTACGCTATGAGTGCATTAATGGTCTAACAACCCACGCAATTTTCGCGTTATTAGAAATTTTATATGTAATCGTATTTAAACAAATAACTAAGTTTTTATATTACGAATTTATTTACAAACAGAATTAAAAGAAAGGCAAAAATTTTCTATGATTAATATCTCTAAAATATATTGAGTTTAAAATGTGGATTCTCCCAATAAACTATATGAACGATATTGTAGTGCGAATTAGTAAATATACACAAAAAGAATTTTTGATGAAGTATCTAAAAATTCAGCTAGATATAGATCTGAAAATAATTTGAACCATTAAAATAATTATGTAGGATACTTAAACTGGTTGCTAGAATGTTAAAACTTTTTGTAGTACTGTCATCATATGTTAATGCATATATAGTGATCTACATAATTATTTTGATGGTCCAACAAAATTATTTTAAGATTTGTATCTATATAAATAGATAAATTTTTAGATTCTTTAATAAAAACGTTCTTTCTATATAACAGAAGGTACGATTAAAATTGCTTCCTTAATTCATCTAATGAATTGCACGTAATATATCTTGATTCGTGGATCAAGAATACAGAATGCTACACATTACTGACACTTTCTTCATCTACGAATACTATACGTGAATTTACTTTTATTGAAAATTGATGAATTTGTGTTTTTTTCACAATTTTGAAATATTTAAATCTCTCTTTAGAAAAATGACAAATGTAATTAATTATTTTAATTATTATCTTTCGTCATATATATTTACGAATACTATCAATTGCTGTATATTTTTAATACAATACAGTTTATATCTTCGAATTTGCTAAGATCAATATTTAAATACATACATCAAAGTTAAAACGTTCACATGCTAGTTTAAATTAGGCTTAATTTCGACTCGACGGTTTCATCGGCGGTCCTATCTTATCGCTAATTACGCAGTCGTGTATATGCGTCGGCGCAAACTTCTCTCTCGCCAAGATCTCTTTCTTTTCTCTTCCCCTTCAAACTTTCTTCCCTCTTCTCTCACTCATTTTCTATCCTACTCTCTTCACTTCTTCACTCTCTCTTTCTCACATTTCAGTCTCCCCTTTACGCTTCTTCATTACGCGCCGCGACATACTCGAGGTACTCTGCATCTTCGATATGTCAGGAGGTGCAGATTACGGTGGACTAATAATAGACGATGATAAAAATTTGACGCGCAAAATGTTCCGCGGGGGAAAACAGCGAAAACATGGGGGCAACGTACTCTAATGATCTGACACATTCGAATCGCTCGAACTACCGATCTCTTCCATTTTTCGCGAATCGTGTAATAAAGATAATAATTGTCATGATCGCAAGTAGAAAAGATCTTGTCTGTTCAAGACAAAAATTAAACTTTTATCGATTGATGTGATATAATTTGTTATACTTTTTCATAACTTTAATAAAGGTCAGAAAATTGGAATGATTTCAATTTTTCGAAATAAAATTTTAATTTCACTAAAATTGATATTCGTCCATTACTAGGATTTCCTAAATTCCAATATGAGTTGTACACAAAACAGAACTATGTAAATATCATATTTTCATAGTCTTTTTCGTACTGTCTTCGCGACAGAGAAGCGAAATAAAATATGTATAAAACTTTTCCCTTTGTTGTCATTTATTTAGGCGTGGATAGGTTTACGAAATTTGCTTCATCATGTTTCGTATTCGAGACCACAAGCGAGTTGCATCGATTCTGTGAAACGGACTGCTTAAATATTTATCGAGGTACGTACCGCAGACGTATAACAGTTTAAAGCTCAAAGGGTTGTAAAGTTCAAGCAACTCGTCGGTATTATTACGGTTTGTAGGATACCGGCTGCTTACCACGATCGCACAAACGTATTACAACGAAATTTTTTCGTACAGTTTAAAACACTAAAGCGCAATACATTAAACATTTACGTGTGAGAGTCGTGCAATAAGCGATCTGCCTAGTTGTGACAGTTTAATCAAAGAATGTATTATTCTCTTTACGTTACAGAGGAAAAATATACTACAGTAGTTTCTGTACACAAAAAAAAGAAAATATTTTTACAAATTTAAACTTAATAAAGTAATTGCAATTTGCAATAAATTTTCCACCATCTTTTGTGATAATATATATGATTGTCTAGAATAAATTCTATATGAAATCGTTAATTTTTTTATAACTATTTTATTAAAAATTTGAAACAAATAAATTTTTTAATTTCAAAATTATTAATTTTTTTAATCCAATTAAAATTTCATTAAAAAAAGGAAAAATAATTACAGAGATTAATTGTAATAATAATTATTAAATATGTTATTTATTATATAAAATAATTCGTAGTAATGTCAAATAGTTGATCAATTTATTTAAAAATCATTGTAAATTATAACGATACACGAATGAAAATAACTCTCAGTCTAATAGCAAAAAAAAATTCTAGCAGATCAGTCACGAGATTAGTAATCATTTTTTCAAGTTAGTTCAATACAATAATTGAGAGCTCGTAGAATCTGTAATGTGACTTTATTTATCTAGACGCATAAATTTTTCGCGAGCCATTGGAATTATCATCATTTCATTGTAGCAGCGTGATAGCTACGAATCGGGAGGAAAACATCGTACCCATGTAGAAAATTCAGAATCGTTCACGAACAATTTATAATAATTAAATAGTCATAATCAAATATCTTGTTTTAAATATATTGTTCATTTCATCATTGTTTTTCATCATAGTTCATTCTTACTCAAATCAGTAAAAATCATATTTCATTAATTTTAAATATTAATAAAATATATAAATGTAGATTATTAATTAATTTGTAAAATTTATAATGAATAATATTTTTGCGTATTTGTATGTATATTAATTTTAAAGTATAATTATTTTTCGTCCAGAGAATACAGCTCTCTAACGTGTCTAGGATATTCGAATGTTCGCAATAGTATTATTACGATTACGACTCAATAGAATCGCCAAGTTCACTTAACAAACTTGAGCTTCGTCGCAATCCTAGGTTCTGATAACCGCTGCATCTCTTTATCTACAATTCTGTTTATCTTTTAGTACAGTTACAACAGATACTTATGAATTACACAAACGTAAAAATTGTTTAATGTTCGATGAATTAATTTTTTATGAAATAATTGAAAATGATAACTTATGTAATTATAAATAATAAAAAACATGATATTTTTAGTTATATAAACAAACCGATTAAGACAAAGAATCTCAAAGATTTTAGTTATATCACATCAATTTGCGGTGATTTTATTCCGCATATTTGTCCGGATAAATCCGAAAATGCAGCACACGACCGCGAATTCGATCAGCCCGCACCAGTGTCGAGCGAACGATACGATTCCCCTCTGCCGTTGTCGCGCATGACGTCTTTACGAGGGAGATAAATCACGGTTATGCCCGGCCGCGTGATTGGCACCTAATTGCGACGGCATTCCGGATCGACTGGCTGTCAGTTTCGCGATTTTCGAAAGTCGTTCGCCTGCGGTGTTTTAATCGACGCCTTATCGAAACGCCCGCTCGCCCCGGCTTAAACGGCCACTCGATCACGAAGAACGTTCGCTACGGAATGCGATCGTGGGTCGTATTCTCTTTTTCCCCTCCACATTCGCATACGGAATGCATATTCCTATCGGTGACTCGCCTCGAGGTGTAAAGCGAGTTGTGCGATAACACCGAAACGATGCCTCATTGTCGTTGACAAACGGCGATTTTCCAACGTGTGGGAAAGAACATTCTTTCATCGAAGCCAAATATTCGTAAGAGTTTGGATTTATCATTTCCATATGGTTTTTTTTCGTTTTCATTCTAATGCGCACTTTTAGACAGAACTTTATTACTTCTATCTCTTATCACTTTAAATGTAAAGTTGAAATAGTTGTAAAACATTTATCACTTTAACACTTTAACATCAACACATTATTAAGTTCGTTAACAAAAGGGAAACAAATTGTATGAACAAAATTAAATAAAATGTTTGAAGGTTAAAAATATAATATAAAATTTATGAACGATTGAAATCTTTTCAACTTTCTTCAGCAATTTATCTTTATGCATAGCTACTCAATTAAGACTACTCTAGGAATTTCTTTTCATTCAAATTTGAATATATTTTATATTTATCACATCAACGAATCAACAAATATAAATGTGTGTTTTCATGAATAACGCCTAGCACATATTTATAATTTAATTTCAAAACACCGTGTGACGCGATGCATTAATTCATTTGTCATGATTAATGCATATTTCAATTGTCATTTTTTATTATTAATAAGAAGTATCCTATATCGTTCCCTATTAAGTAAGGAAATGTAAAAAGATTACTTACTTCAGGATAGTCTTGGGATCGATGCCTGTCGGCATTCTCAGAGGTATTTTCTGTTGCTCCAATAGAGATATGTTGTTGTCCTGAACAAACAAAATGGATAATGACATTAGTATAAAAAAAACTGTCGAGTGATAAAAATAAAACAAATAAATAACTTAATATTACGCAAGCATACAGCCTAGTTACTTAGACGTCAGCGTTAGTCACTTAAGAACAAGACTAGGAAGCACTAATAAAACACACTATATGAAAGGAATTATTGTTTAGCAATACATGAAGTAGCAATCGTCGCGTAAATAATGATCGTATCGTGACAGCCCACTAAAAAGTATGAATAACAGTTACGGATAATTTGCACATCGTTTACAATCGTCTCCACTCATTATGTGATCCTTCATCAAACACAACTGGTGAATCGCGCAACGTGTGATCGTCTTATCGCGAATTCAATGTCCAAATAAATTTGAACGAGCACATTGCAAGAATAATGAAGATGTTGAGAAAAACCGTATCTTTTCACGCGATAGAATGAACGATCTCGAACTTACCTGAGAATTTCTGGGTTTCGCCGAGAGATCGAGCGGTTGATCGGCCGCCGCGGCGCTGTCCTGATGGGTCTGCACCCCAACAAGGGGCGCCTCCCTCGGCGGTAAGCACCATTGGGGCAGCAAGGTGGGGTAAGTGCCGCTGAGAGCGGCGGCGACCACGGACGCCGCCATCGGGTCCACCTGGACCGACATCGGTGACTCCGCCGATCGCGAGCTGCTGCTACTGTCGCTCTGCGGACTCTGCGGGGCACAACACGAAGAAACGTGTCATCCCGGCTCGCGCGATACGAAAAGGAACTGCCTGACTGAATAGCCGGTGGATTGGTCGGACGACAGAAAGGACACCAGGGTGAGATCCGCGAGAAGACGCGATGCGGCAGGATTGAATTCTGATCGAATTCATTTCTCGTAAGGCGCGCCGCCTTCGCGAGTCCTCGTGAATTTTTTATGGGCGCGTCAAAGTGATCAAAGCTGAGAGGCTGGCGATACAGCGATGCGGCCGGCGCCAAAGTACGAAGTACGCTCGACTTAATCAAAAGTAGCAAAGAAGGCTAGGTCAGACTCGAGCCGCGATCGCGATGGCACAACAGGTGCATAGAACGAGGCTGAAACGAGATTTCGATGACGCGATTGCATAAGTGCATTGCAGAAGAAACGAGCAGCATTAGTGTGCATCGATTCATCTATCGATCTCGATAAATCATCGACAAGACCGTCGGAATATTTCGAGTCATCCGAAGCGTTCGTCACAGGATCGTAGAAACTCAAGATCCGAATTCCACGTGAAGAAAGATTACTTATACGTTCATTTACTTATTCCGGTCCGCATCCCTTTCGCGGATAATCTCTACACAAAATTAGCAATGAAGGACGAGGTCGATGCTCAGCCATGCGCAACCTCACACTCGGCAGACTCGCCGCAGGGTACTTACAAGGGGCGGCTGGTCGTCGTGGGGTAGCTTGCCGTCGAGGCAGAAGTAACACTTGTCGAGCGGCTTCCAATCCTCCGGCGGCGGGCTCGTGCGTCTTCCAAGGAGAAACGGCGTCGCGACGCTCGTCGCGGCTGCGTTCCCGTCGCGGCATAACAGCCCCGACCTGGTCCCTTCCGAATCCGTCGCCGGTGTTGTCAGTATCGTGGTACCGCCAGAACCCGGTACTTCTTGCAGCTCTTCCTCTTTCTTTACCCTCAGTAAGCCCTGCGTTACCGGTGCCCGCTCCAACGCGATTTCCTCCGTTCGTTCCTAAAATGCAGAAATAAATAATGTGAACAAAATCAGAGAATGTGAGACAAAATTTTCAAATTGCTATGGAATCTTAAACGATTAATTAAAATGAATTTATTTCATTGTTTTTAATCTCTATAAGTCTGTTCTTTTCAATTAAACTTTTGCACGGTTCATCTTCTCTATTTCCTTTTTTTTCCATATTCGAGAAAAAAAAGGGGAAAGAACGGTAAAAAGTTTAGCTAAAAAGAATAACAACATATAAGTGATTATTACACAGATTTATACCAACCTTGGTCCCTTCCGTGTCGGTAGCGTTGGCAGTCGGATGATCCCGAGTCGCACGATCGTTCTCCGTTCTGAGAGGGCTGACCGCCGACCTGTCGGCGTCCTCGTCGAGCTTGAGCCGTTTCTCCGCTTCGTTCTGACCTCGTCCCGTTTCCTCGTCGTTCTCTTCGCCGTCCTCCTCCCCGTCGACGTCCTCCCCGTCGTTTTGCCGGCGTCCGCGTCGCCGTCTCGTCGCTATCGTCGTCGTGCCGGTCGCTGTTGTCGTTGTCGACGTGGTCGTTGCGATGCCGATGGTCGTCGCTGTTGCCGTCGTTGTCGCTACTTCCGCCGTCGTCGTCACCGTCGTCGACGTCGCCGTATCCGTCGTCCTCGTCGAGGTATCCTCCCGCGCGGCACCGTCTGTAAGCTCCTCGTCGACGGCCTCGATCTTGACTTCGCCCGGCCTTAGACGGCGCGAATCCTCCTGCTGTTGTTGCTGTAAATGGTCCTGAACCGGCGCGGGTAGATGATGGTGGTTCTGCAGATGATGCCTCTGCAAACTCTCCTGTTTCACCACGCTGGTCGCAAGCGTCGTCGTCGTCGTTGTCGTCGTGGTCGTCGCCGTCGTCAGCACCGTCGACGACAACGACGTGGGTGCCGGGTGATGCAGCTGCGACCCAATCTGGTCCAGACTCCCGGGTATCGGGTTGCAGGACGACGACAACGCCGGGTAAAGCCGATGGTGGGGCTGTGATTCGCTGCTGCGGGTGCCGCTGTACAGGGTGTCCTGGTATTGCTTCCATCTCCTACGGCCCATCAACTCCTCCGCTACCCGTTCCAGACCTGCGACACCACCGCAACTACATCAAACAATGATGTGCACCGGTTACCCGGAACCCGTGTGTATATGTATGAAGTTTCACTTTCAATAAGGCAAACATACGTTCCGTATGCTGCACTCAATAGGACATATTTGAGATTGACAAAAATTTCAAGGCTCGTATTCTCTAAAACTTTTAGAGTAAATCTCACTCTGAAGAATGAAATCTCACTTTTAAAGATTGAAAATTGAGCCACTCTCTTTTTCAAGATTGGCTCAATTTCTTTAGAGCGACATTCCACTCCAAAGAAATTACAAAATGCAAATAAGCTGAGTACCCAACTCATTATTATTATAAATAAAAGTAAAATAACATCAAACACTTTACATACCTTTTGATAAATTTTCGTCGAATGTGCTCATTAATTGATGCCTAATAAGAAACTTCCTAAAGCTGAAATATTTGATTACAGCTTCAATAAATTTTTTCGAGCAACTGTATAAATCTGCTGTGTTCGAAAAAAATAGAATATTAGATTTATGTATATAATGAGCACATCCGATTTCGTCGAATAAAATATAAATTGACAATTATAGATTGTTTTATTTCTGGCTTATCGATCTTGAAATAGTTTCTTGAACAATTGCACGGTATCACGTATGCCAAAAGCCGGGTAATATGTCCGCCAAAGTATATTTCTCTGAATGTTAACTATCGCTATTGTAATCGTATACGCTAAAATAAGTGGTGCGCGGTTTTATAATCGCGGTTGCATAATCGTGAGTTACGCGAACTGTACCCGCTGCGGATGACGATATCTAGCCCACTGCACAAATTCACGCACGCGCATCTCTATAATGCGCACGGCTGACTTGTTTGTCATATATAGGAAATGATGGACGATGATTAAGGTTCCAGAGAAAAGCACGCGGATGTTCGTAGCTGTGAGTGATGCAGTTCTTCCAGCGAGAATCGCACGCGAAATTATGCAGATCGCGCGCGATTGAATAACCGGACATGGTGGTTTTCGAAGGACACGGCCGCGTATGGCAAACCGAGAGAAAAAAAACTGCATTTGCAAGAAGAATTCACTTTTTCGTTTTTTAGTAACTCAGAATATAATTCGAAGAGTAAAATTTTCACAATTATCGGAACTTCATCGCAACATTCGAGAATGCCCGAGGACTTAATTATATATGTATAAAAAATTGTTAATAATTAATCATTTCATTGCTCTGAACAAATAAACGCTTTGTGCGAATTAAAAGGTATGGAAACGTAATTTTCTTTGAATTCTACGAATCTTTACATAATTATGAGCATTATTGGACTGTCGCGAAAGTTTCATTAGCGCTGCTAAAAAAAGAAGAAACTTTCCGTTCGATACTTCTATTGAGTAGATGTTTCGAGGAAGATAAGAATATGGAAAAATAACACTCGCTATATTCTTATATAATTTGTAGAAATGCATTCAAATGTACTCAACGTCTCAAAGACGTCGGTTTTTTTATCTCACAGGCAGCTACAATTCGCTTACGCCAGTTATAATTCCGCTTGATTCCGCTCCACTCCCTAGAATGGTTCGTGATACAGACGGTGATAACGGGATTTTTTTCACTTCCTTATCCAAAGGCCGAATAGTTGACCGTTATCACACCAGCATGACGTGTTTAACTCTGCCGCGTCGCCGGCTTCGTCGAAAAGATTTCCGAGCGTCAGTTCAACGCCGGCGGATGCTGTTTAATCATCAGCGGGATTTTACAAATTATGATATTTATGCTAGTCGAAACAATTATCAGAGCCACGCCATAGTACGTTGCGATACATGTGCATTTGTGACGGATGTTAATTTCCTGAATAAATATTTAACATCGCGGAAATATGCCCGCCAGCGCGAGCTTGTGTTTTTCGCTCGTTCATTAATTTAGCAAACAGTATTCGATATTCATTTGAGCAAAAGCTCCGTGATCCCGTCGTACATTTCGTCATCGAAGAACCGTGAAAACGATTTAATATACAATGCTCAAATTTAATTTTACGTCACATGTTTTCTCGCTCCAACTGTATTTTCATCTGTTTATGGATATCATACTTGAGATTTTCGAAAACTTATCCAGTTCGCCCAAGTTTGCAAGTAATGCTGAATTTAAACGCATGTACTCGTATATATCGCAAGACAACGAATGAATGATCTTATTCATTCTTCAAATAATTTATACTTTTCAGCCAAAATTATCATACAGTTTATCGTTTATTTTTTTCCATTTCTCGTGATATTTCAAATAACCTAATTCTCTATTGCGGATTTATTACGCGCCATTGATTTATGACACGCGGAGAATAGAATTTACTCGAATCGTCAGTCTCTAATTCTCAAAGAGCATTTTCCTATCCCCGATCAAACGCAAACCGACTACAGCTGGCCAATTACAGCTTGGACTAACCAATCAACCGCCCTTCTCGCCGGACACCCGGTATCGCAGCGCGCGTGCCGCGGATGCAACGTACCGTCACGCCAATCGGTACTCGATGCGATGCACCACGTGCATACGCTTCGCACAATGTACAGGTATAGAGACGTACGCGTTTCTACATTCGTGAGGTGATCGTGAATGCACGTACCGAGTATGTACCCGCGTATGTGAAAATATATATATCGCGTGCGAATCGAGTCCAGTAGCGATTTTTCATGGCGCCCGCCTTCATAGCGCTGAATTGATTTTGTCGTTTGCCACGAGGCGGGATAGTCATTAGGGCCGCAAAGAGCCGGTCGCGGGTCAACCACGGCACGTCGTTTCTGCGAAACGCGTTGTTTCTGTGGAACGGCGGGGAATTCGCAAATTAAATTGCACTCGGGATCGATTCGACCACTCATTGGCGTACAATTCGATGTCTTGGAATTTCGAAGCTTTTGCTGGCCGTGCATGGACCAATTTATGTTAACAATTTGGTTTAGGTTTAATCTAGGTTCAAACGTTTTGAGGTATAATTGTTTATAATAGAGAGATAAAGAGTCAACATGTTTAATTAGGTGTCGGCTCGACACAAAATTCACGCAAGCTCTCCAAAAAAAAGAACACGATGAAAAATTGTGTTTCGTGACAAAAGAGATCGTGGATCGTATCACATTTTTTCATGTAACGCTTTGAAAAATATTGTTCTAAAAATATAAACCTCATTATAACGAGAAACCGCTGCAGTGTAACGCGTACTGATGCAATGTTACTGCACCGCTTAATTTAGGATCAATTTGTAGTAGTCCACAACGGCTTTGTGGTAAAGCAGAACTATTGAAAAATTCAGAGGGAAATTTCGACACGTTTAAAGCAATGGTTGCACACTTTGCCTTCGTAAATTTACAAAAAACAATATCACCCGTATTAAAAATGAATGAGTAACTAAATTATCATGCAACTTCGAAAATTTTCTACTGTATATTACACATTTGCATACAATGGTATTCGAATAAACTAAATCTCACGAATGTGTAATTTAATTAAAGCGATGCTTGAAGGTCATCGAAAGGCAAGTATCTTGATCTAACGATTTAAAGAATTTAAATATTATAGAAAATTTTTACAACGAAAAGCAGAGTAAAAGGCCTCGATTCATTGTAGTACAATCGTGAAAACAATTTCGAAAGTCCATTAGGCTCTTTCTCTAAATTAAAGTCTGCTAAGGTCGGTTTATCTCACGCAAATGGACATTCGCGTACAGCTAATTATTCCGCGGCCGCAATTATTATCGCCTTACTCAACGGCGCGTATCGGAGTAAGTTTAATCGTGTTATTTTCTTCGAAGCGTACAGAACATTCGCGTCTCTGTACAGTCCGAAATAATCTGTCGTCGCGTATCTCACGAGCAAACTTCGGGAATCAAAGTTGTTCGATCGCATATATCGCCGTTTGGAATTTCGCGAGCGTAATGAGTCTTACGCGTTTTAGCCATTAATTAGTTCAGTCGTTAATTATGCGTTTCGCTCAATAATTACTGTATTATTGATTTACACCTATATTAGCGACCAATGTGCGACAGAAGAAATTGATAACTGTACAATTACATATTATGAAACATGTAGATATCGTTCTAATTGTTTTGTAAAATAAAATTTAATGTGCCAACTAATACAAATTTCAAGCTTCCATTTTCAAACAACTTTCAAATTTTTATTTTACAAGAAAATAACTTTTTAAAAAATGCAAGTTGTATCTGAAATCCAATGAGGATAATAAATATTTATTAATAATCTATAATGCAATTTGATATTGAAATTGTTAAATAGTACGATATTCGTATTTGTTGTACAATATATTGTATTCATATTAGAATTGTACGATATGTCGTAATTGTGTAAAAAAATTCGACTGATACTCTTGAAACTAGCGCAACCATGATTTCGATTCGTAAGTAGGTTTATAAGTACGCAGCCTTGTCACTTGTTAAATTTATTATCGATTGGTTACCAGTTTGTTTTCAAGATATCGAGTACTCAACGGCATTAATGGTAATTAATATGTAATGGCATTAGCATGTTAACCGGTTCTTCAGCGAAGTTGATAGAAAGGTTGGAAATAGTAGCGAAGTTGGTTCTCAGAGCGACGGTTTACCGTGTAAAACGCATACAAATTTCGGGGACTGTAGAGTATAGTGATCATGCAAGATATATTGCGGGTTTCGCTTGAGTTCATGAATAAGCGCGAATTATCTAGTGAAGAACGAGAACACATTGATCACTCTGGATAGCTCGCAATTATACCAACGTATGTGTTGAAGTGGACGAAATGTTAATTCTCCAATGACGACATTTCCCAAACTTATCTTAACTGTGGTAATTACATATTTAAATGATTGTATTAGATTATATTTGTTATTTGCACTTCAATGTAAAATTGTTATTGACAGAATAATTTTATATAATAGTAACTACATAAGTTTTGTAATGTATTTTATACCTCAAACAAAATATATCGAGGAACAACTAAACACAAAATGTTTTTTTCAATCAATTAAACCTTTCAATTA